CCTCTGAAATATTGGTACCCACCTACTAGACCACATGGTATCATAGCTCAGAAGCCCACAGTATGAACTGTACATATTCTATAGTGTTCCTGTTGAGTGAAACACATGCTGGCAAGACAGGGGGAGGTTCCAACACAAAAGTGTGGTTCCATGATATAGACAAGGCCCATGCAGACCTTGAACCTTTCTCTGAAATTAGTGCCCCTGTTCAGTTCCATTGGTTACACTAATTATGTCTCCTGTATGCAAGTGATGTTACAGACTTCAGGATTTCACAGCAGTTAACTGTTTACAATAATTCAGTTTTTTGCCGGTTATATGGCATGGATGCAAACAACACTAAAGAAGTTTTGCAGGTACACACTGCCTCCATTTTCATCTACACATTTTACTTGTTATGTTCTATTCAGTGACGATGGCCACATAATGGTTAAAACATGTTGTGTTGTGAACTAACAATTTGTTATCCAGTGTGCTGAGCACAGAAGATGGAGAAATGCAACAAGGTGCTATGGTGCATAATAGAATTATAGGAGTTCCACCAGCACTGTGATTCTTATTTTAACCCATTTACAAACTGATATTTGTTCAGGCTGCAAGATATGCTGTGTGCTGAAGTTTCAAACTCATAACATGCAGTCTGATGCAAATGGAGACAAGAAGTCTGTTTTGTGTACAGAGACAACGTTCTGTTATGATATACAAAGCTGTAACACAGAGTATTATAACAACTCTTTACAATTACACTTACAGTAGAATCTCCATTTAATGTTATTTGATTTAATTTTTCTCAAACATTTAATGTACAATTTGAAAGATCCCAAGTCAATCTCATTGTCAAATTACTTCCATTTACAGTATCCTCAATATCAGTGTTCAAATCCATTACTCCCCAGAGAAACTTTAAATGGGGTTTCCACCGTAGCAATCTAGAACAAAATTTTATGTTACATATCCAAAATAAATATATCATAATTACTGAAATACTGAATCCTTCAAGTAATAGTTTGATGATACTGTGCACTGGTGTACAAACATTTCAGAGAACTTATCAGTTGCCATTATCAGGGCATGGCATGAGTAAGCAACACAGATCCCGTCCCTGCATTTCTTGCACTCTAATATACACTAATTTGTTGATTTCTTTTTAAGAAATCTGCTGTGCCAACTTCAGGCCAAGTGCTTAACAGCATAGTCCACATATTTCTAGTGCTATATCCAGCTCTGGTGCAAGCCTAATTATGACTAAATGGCACAAGAACGTCTATCCCCTATTAAAAACAGATCAACTTTCTCATAACTTCATCATGATTAACAATAAAAAATTACTTGACACTATGATGAAACTTCCACTAGTGTCACAACTCTTAAAAAAAAAAAAAAGAGCAAAAGAAACAGTAAGTGAACTGCAGTGTCATCTGGTTGTAGCCAATGGGGTGTCACTGTCAGCTCAAGATTACAAAAGTAGATGGCAATGCAAGTGCCTGCAGTTCAGCTACATTTACATTCTTAGATGACATGTCTGCATGATTGGAAAATTAATGGTCACAATACGAACAAAAGGGCAGCAGAAATTAATGTTCTGACACCACTCACATGGCCTGAAGATGGGGGCTGCCAGTTTGCCCCAGACATTAGCACACCAGCACACCACAACACAGAGGCACTGCTCAGAGTTGAATGAAGTTACTATTTAAGCATCTGATAAGCCCTTCACACAAAACAGTGCATACCACTGACATGCTTTTAATTACCTGGGGCAGAGTCAAAATGATGTGAATGGGTTAAATGTGCACCTGCAATCACCTCATGATTTAATTTAAGCAGTTAAAATCAGGACAGTTCATCAACGAGTAAAATCTGTGGTGCTTATTTGCAAAGATAAAGAAGTTACACTAATATAAATCTTTGACTGATTTACCTTATCACGTCAATTTGGACTGATATCTCTGAGAAACACGTGGCCCAAGATTACTGAACACGGGCTACCAAGATTACTGATGAGTTCATCCTACTGGAACAATAACAAAACACTGACTTGATAAATGCCAGTGTTAGTTATGTTCACTGAGGACACTGATGTTTGCTTAGAGTTTTGTTTTTAATTATACTTAATTTAATGATGGCGTCGGGGGCTTCAGACTACATGGTGCCAAATGGTAAGATGATTAAATAGAGAGGATGTGGCCTAACTGAAGTAATATCCTGGAATTTGCCTGGAGAGATCAAGGAAAAACATGATAAACCTCAGTCATGAAAGCTGGTGTCCCAGGTGAGATTTGAACTGTAAACTTCCTGAATACAAGCATACAGTATTACTGCGACAACAAACTCCTCAGTGCTTTGATGTGATAGGTCCCACAATGAGAGCACACAGCAGTACCAATACCAAGCAGGTTAGACCAATGGTATTTGCAACTCACAATAAACATCCCATTTGTCACTATAAATCCATCAACAGCTGATATATTATCATTAAATAACCTAAAAGTAAATATGTAAGCTGTACAAAAGACTGATGACTTTGCTTTTGTCTGTATAGACAGTCCAACACGTATTGCAATGTAGCACTCTACCAGAATGTGGTCTTCTGGATTTTAATGCCATGTAGTCCAGAGAGAGCTGACATCTGAAAGGAACAACGGAGTCTCTCTGTACTACGTAGTGTTACAACCCAGATGACTATACTCAACTTAGCTATCACCATGAGAACCTCAAATCCTACATCAATAGATACTAAATAATAATTTCCATTGTCACAGATTGTCAGATATAACTTCAAAGCTCCACACAGTGAATATTTTCATTTATTTTAAGTGCAAAAACTGATACATTACTCTTTTGTTTATGATCTCCATTCATACCAATTTTATGCATCCAATACTCACCAGTAAACATGCATTTCACATGCCTTATATGCTCTTACATGGTCCTGTGACTACTTTATTGGTCTCTCAACAAAAAAAGAAATATCAGATGACTATATAAATTGAAAAATTTTCTTTTCATAAGGGCACCTTTCTTTTTTCTGTAAACATTTCTTAATGACAAACAGCTGAAATCTGTGTCAGTTGGACTGGACTTCTGATGTCATCCCTGTCTGAGTCTGAGCTGAGCCTATCATTTGGGCATGGAATTGTAAAACTATTTTATACAGTCAACTATGAAGGGACATAATTTAACCACTGATCCATACTTAATTCTTTCTTAAATTTTATACATGAATTTTAATTTATTTGTGGAGCAACTCTAACGTACTGTCATTTATACTCCAGTTTCAAACTGATATATCTACATACACCTAATGAGTCTAATTTATAATCACAATGGAATCATACACTTTTATTAATAAATTACCCCACAAATTTGAGTTCCACTGAAACTCAAATTCGAACAAGTTCTAATGTCAGTTACAACTGTGCTAACATGTGATTACTCTATTTATCGATTCATTTAATTTTTAGCAGTGACAGAGATTTTGGTGTTGTGTATATTTACTTGTGGTCATGTGTGTGAGTCTTCTCATGAATGTAGCACAGAAGACAGGATATTCAAAACGTCTCTGAGTGATGCAAGCGTTGAATCATAATTACATCCCAGACACTGTTTGTAAGAGGATTTGAGGTTCTCACAGTGCTCACAGCAAACAGAACAGTCTACGGGGTTGTAATGCCATGTACTTTGGAGGGAGCATGATGCTTCAATGCAACATAATGCCTCTATCTTCAGGGCTGAAGAGTAAGCCAAGCAAGATACAAGCAGAAGCAGGCAGCAAGCTGAACTGAGTTCATCCTACTGGAACTTGGAGATGTACAAAGAGCTGTTTCTTAATTCAGCAGATCAAGAGACATACATCACTTTCCCATTCCAGAAGGATATTTGGGGTAAATGGCCCATCTACAGTTCAGCAGACAGCTTATTCTTGACCCTGTTCTACCCATCCAGGGAGGGGGACAATGAGAAACTCAAACTTCCATCCTGTGATAAATCAAATGAACCAGTTTGCTGTGCAATGAGGCCTGTGATGGTGGACACTGCATTTTTACATGTTGGAAACTGTAAAGTAAAAAATAAAGTAAAAGTATACCTGTAACAGGCCATGGAACCCCATAAAGTTGTGAAATGTTGAGGTTCCCATATTTTCTAGGCAATCGGCTCATAAATGGCGGTAAAGTTGTCAGCCTTATGTGCCGGCTGCCCTTTACTTCCAAGAATATTCCTGGTACTCATTTCTGTTAAAGGCTGAGTCGAAACCAGGGCCACAGTGCGGCTGGAACGGTTAGGTAAATTTAAAAAAATCCAACTCATCAGGATTTGCTCCCACGACCTTCTACTGCGTGCCCTCTTACGTGTTGGAAGCTATACCTCATAAAACTGAAAATCAAGTGAGGGGGTGACATGCGAGAAGAAGGTTGACTGTACACATGTTTGTGAGTAGCTATATAGGCTAAGAAAGCTAGGTGTTGGTTGCTGATCAAAGAAAACAAGTTTACATGATGCATCCATATCTATAAGCAAGCACATTAAAAGGTAACAATATTTATGCTCAGAATATAGAGAACTTTGTTGTCAGAACATTAAACAGGTGTATTATTACACTCCATTAGAATATTCTTATGAAGTAATAACCTAAGGTGCACTTCCTAGTGGTGAAAAAATGTTTCTTGTTAATGAGTGATTTCATTTCATTGTTTTATGTTGATTGCTAAGAGAGATATGCTGGTTTATCCAAACACTAGCCCAGTGAAGGGTAAAAGTGAACTCTACATCAGGCCAGCAGGAGATATGGGTAATCAAATGCTATTATGCCAGCAGGAGATATGGGTAATCAAATGCTTGGTACTTCAAAAGTTAATAACAACAGGTAAAAACTAAGCAACCATCCAAAATATTAAGATTACAGTCTTCTGGAATGTGACACCATGTATTTTTGGTAGATGTGTATGCCTCCAACTTCAGAGTCAGGGAGTGACACTCTTCTACCCTGAAGATGGAGGCAGCAGATTCATCTAAGACACTGGTACCTATTCACCAGACTACCAAGTGTCACAATTTTAATATTCTCTGCAGTGGGAAGCTCAAACCTCCTCTGCAATGTCACTACTCTTTTCAGCATCTGTGCCCGTGTTCAGCACCATCCTCAGTACACTGCACTTCATCACAATGAGTAAAGTCTGTGTAATTCAATTTGCTAAATCACAACAATGTGTCCACCAGTGTAAAATAACAAAAAAAGGCTGTCTGATATAGTATTGTTACTTAGGTCACTTTTGTTCACTGGAGCTGCATTGTCACCCAGACAGCGGTTCTTGGATGAACAAGCCCACCAATCTCGCAGTTCACCGTTCGTGTCTCCCCATTGACTACGAACAGGGCTTCATTGGCCGGTGTGACCATGTAGTGGCCGAACACTCCAGAGGCCGCAATGGGCCGGTTTGGTGCGTCCCACTGGGCAAGGGCAGGGTGCATGGCCCTGCCCACCCCCGTGATCATCTCCACTTTTCCTACAGCAAGATAGCAACAGCATAAGGTGACACAAGAAGGAGGTGTTACTAACAGCCTCAACACATCAAGCAACCATCTCCATACACACTGCAGCCAGACATGTCACATGGCATTTGTAAACATCTGCAAGATCTGGCAGAGACCTTGAAGTTTAGTTATCATCTGTGATATCATGTAATCTGATAGCTCATTACCGACATTTCAGAGGAAGGTCCTGTCTCCAGGTTACAAAGGTTACATAAACATGGGGAAAAGAACAGGAGCCAATAGTGGAGAGTGGTAGTAAGGAGTGACAGACATACTGAGGGCAGATCAAAGTGGAGGCGAGAAAATATAGGAAAAGCCAGACTACATTTTGCCACATCCTAGAGGACAGAATTCTTTGTAAACACTGTGTCATAGAGAAGCCACTTTCTGTCCATTTAAGAAATATCTGTAACAGCATGTGGTCAGACCTTTATGCTGACACAAAACAAGAACATAAGCAGAAATGAAATCCAACAGAAAAACAACCAGATACACACATTTTGATTATAAAAAGAATTTAGACATAATTAAGGAATTAAATATACAACAAATCGTGGAATTCAGAGTAAATTACATGTCTAATTGGATGAACCATATTCTCAAAATGCCCTGCCCAAGACTCCCATTCCAAATGGTCAGACACCAACTAAATGATTGAAGATCTTTTGGAGACCCAACAGACCACTAGGCCTAGGATGTAGAAGGTTAACAACAATGAACGAAGTCATTTCAAGTTATCAGGTATGTGAGTATGGAGTTGGTATCCCGTGTTCCAGAGTGTCTGTCTCTATCATCGGTGATTACTATGACGAATGACTGTCACGTCCACACAAATTTATACCACAGAGAATGCTCTCAGATGTTACAGCATGGACCACTGAGGCAACAGTGGACAGAGTCAGGCAGCCGGTCATAATCCTTGTTGCTTGTCGCCGGTCCTTCCTTACAATGTCTCCAGATGGCTCTCCCTGCTTTTGTCATGATTGTGGCTGGGTACTGCGAATAGCTTACAAGGGAATCCTATATTTGTGTTGAAGTTACAGGGGTACAGTTGAATCTTGATGGCCTCCTTAACCATGAAATCTATGCGATTTGTTGTTCTGGCCAGGCCAGTAGAGTACACAGCTAACAGCCTGAGAAGACTTCACTCTGTAGAGTCACCATGAAAAGTTCAAATAATATACATCTAACAATAACAATGACCCAAGTTCATAACATGATTACTTTAATGATTTATTGTGATGTATTGTTGCAAGAAAGTGATATTTTATAAAGATACGTGTGGTTATAAATTATTGGAGCAGTCAACCATTATAACATCCACATATAATTCTGGATGATGTTTGTTAGAACTGTTTAGGAATAGAATCCTAATACTCCATATAGGTGACAGTGGTATATTTGTGCCTACAATGATGAAGAGAGAGACAAAAATATAGATGATTTTTAGATTAAGTACATTTGAAGGCAAATGCATAAATAACAGAATAAAATGGTATGGGCACATTTTAAGAATGAATGAAGAAAGAATTCCAGAGCAAGTTTGGAACATGAAATTAACCCGTTGCCGTGGTTCGACGTGTATGTTTCATCAGGGATTTAAATCGTCTGGGGGGGTTCGACGTGTATGTTTCGTCCAGCTGCACACCTATGTTATAACGCCCATAATAATTGATGGTTTTGCTGTAGATTGTTAGATTTTTCGCTGGCCTGTTGTCAGTGGAACAGAGTATAAATAAGACACGACTTTATCTGCGCCTAGTCATCGTTACATATGCCTGTCTTGCAGCAAAGTTCCTGTGGCTCTGGCGAGCGGTTCCTACGTCGTAGTCTTATGAAAGGCGTGTTTTCTTTGCTTTGAAGATATAAACAACAGAGACGTGATGTGTACTGTGTTTATCATATACTATTGCCCTGAGCTGGCCACTCTAACACACTCAATTGGAATTCTTAGAATAAAGGTTGTCCATAAGTTTATTCTCGCATGATCCATTGATTTCGCACAGTACAAAGGCCCAGTTCTTAGAAAAACGCCACAATTTAAGGCAGAACACTGTGGTCACCCCCTGAGACGATACGGATGTGTGTGGGGGAGGGAAAAAGAACTCATTCCTTCATGTAATATCGCGCCAGTTGACGCCATTTTATCGTACTGACCTTGGTGGTCGTTTCGAGGGATGACCATAAATATTTTTTTGAGCCAGCTAGGCTCTGCTTTCGTGCTCTACATACCAGCCAGTACTTAGAATAACTTCATGAATTCTGTGGTCACCCCTACGACATCTACAGCCGCCAAAATGGATGGAATATCAAAGGCATAGCAACAAACCCTTGTTATGATAACTCGTAACGTTGAATTTACTGCAGCTGACCTCACTAGCTTTACTGCTCACGGAAGGACATTTCCTTGAACTGTACCCCTCACGGGGAAGAGGATTAGGCCGTACAGAAGCTGTGTGGTTAAAAAAAAAGAGCAAAAGGAAAGATTCACAATATCGGAGCGAGGAATGGGGGCACCGTTGGGTTACACGAGTGCTTCAAGGCCTTTCTTACACTGCTCAAATAGATACCGGGCGCTCATATTATAAGGTAAGGTTATAAAAACCATCTTTTAAGATCATTTTAGTGAAAGTTTCATGCTTCAAGGCGTACCATTCACTGCTCAAATACTAAAAAACCTGCTTCCATTGAAGATATAAAGGGCGCTCATATTATAAGGTAAGGTTATAAAACCACCTTTTAAGATCATTTTAGTGAAAGTTTCATGTTCCTATCTCATAGAATTTAAGAACAATGATGAATAAATCATTTTCGAGCAAAATTTAAATGGCCGGCTGAATATATTACCGCAGGAGACGCAGCCGCGGAATTTAAATTACCGCGTCAAAGGGTTAAAAAGAAAATTCTCAAGAAGTAAACAGGGACCAAAAATGGCAGTAACATTTTACAGAAAAGGAAGGAAGACTATGAGGGGAAACTATGGGGAGCCTTGTGTGCTACAGAATATCGCGGCATGTAGACTCATTACTGGATAACAACTGTGAGATAACCAACAAACAAGCATGTTTCCATGGCAACAACTGAACTACAACAATGAGGAGTGGTGTTCTCTGTGCAGTTACAAGATGTTACAAGCAGAACAGTTTGTGGAAAGACTCAGTCAGTTAGTCAAAAGTTGCTGGTAGCTGAGGCCAGGGACAGTTCAGGAACCCAAAGGATGATGAATGCCCACCATTGGTAGCCACTACCGAGCAGCGGCCAGGGAAGACTAAGAAGACTTTTGTGTGCTATGATTACAGTGATCTTTGGAGTGTGTAACTCAGTGAAACTGTCGTAGTTATTTGTAGTTGCATTCTGTAAGTGTCCAGTAATTCCAATTACCAACACAAACCTCGTCTACAGTCTCATTCAATTATGTGACAATATAAAGTGAAAATGTCTAAGCAAGAGGAGGATAAGAATAAGAAGAACTGCAATAATTGAGATCTCAGGTGGTCACCTGTTTCACATGAGCTGATATCCTGTTTGTCCATAGTTCTGCTATGTGAAGGAGACGCAGCTTGTGGCAATTTGTCCCTACCTGCACAGCATATCTTTACATTCACTGTGAGCTCATCATGACTGACGTGTAAGATAAAGAAGATGCCAGGACATTTATGGTGTTGAGGACAGAGCACTGTTCGCATAGTGGGGGGTTGAGTCCAGCTGGGTCCACTTGGCACATTGCCCACTTACTGGCCCATTGTACCTGCCCTGGGTGATTACAATGATGGAGAATTTGGTGGAGTGAAGATTGGCAGGGGAAACCGAAGTACTCGGAGAAAGCCTGCCTCAGTGCCACTTTGTCCACCACAAATTCCACTTGATGATACCCAGGTTCGAACCTGGGCTGCTGCAGTGGGAAGCTAGCGACTAACCGCTTGAGATACGGTGCGGCCTTTACAGAACCCTGTTACTGAGGCATTACCCCATCAATGGACACAGGTGATGTTCTATGTGTAACATTCTTGCATATATTTGCTTACCTGTCACAAGGTTGAGGAACAAGATATCCTCTTTCTCTGTCGCACTGGCATACAGATCGTAGCCATGTGTGGTTTGTGATGGGTAGAATGTGATGTCACTGATGTTCAACGTTGTCTTCACATCAAATGAGAACTTCAGACCACTTTCTGCCAAAAGAAACTCACAGATCACCAACTAAGATCACAATTCTTGTGGTTTGTTCATATGAAACATCTAATCACATGAAACTACAGCACATTCTTGGGCCAGGCTAACAAACCCGGCCAACTGATTCACTTGTATGTTGTGCTACGATCTAGAATGCATGAAGCCTTGCCACTTACTATGCACCCTCATGGGTTTTGCTTACTTTGGTTTTGGGGGCAGGCATTTAAGAATGGTTTCACATTATGGGCTGGCCACTGAACCTGAATAAGTATGATTCCCATAACAATTTTACATCACAGAACATACAATCAGAAGCACAATCATCTGACACATGCATCACTATCTGCAAGGTATTAGTGTATTTAGTCTTTTACCTGTTTATGGCTTAGTGAATGACCATGTCAATAGCTTGGAATTTAGAGAGAGGATCATTAGTAAATAACCAAATGGAAAGGATGTCGAAGAAGGTGGTTATCAATTAATATTTTCCTGGATGGACTGAGGAAAACCATGACAAAACTCAAACAAGATGGCTGGTCTTCAACCTGAGATATGAATGTGGGATCTTCTGAATATGAAGCATCAGTACTACCTTCTTGACTGTGACATTTGGTAAAATGCAGATCTAAAATGACACACAGTAACTTCCAGTTATGCTTATGAGCAATAATAGGAAGCAAAGCAATCAAATTACAGTCTATTTAGTGTCCATTCTACAGGCTTCCTTCATGATCTCTGGAAGTCTGACTACTTTGTGGTCACATCTCTCAGAGAAGTTCAGAATATTTTGCAGTATTTGAGGCTCTCACAGTAGTCGCCTTGGAGAGTTCTGTCTTCTGGGATACAGTGCCGTTCATTCTATTGAAAATCTGTCTGCCTCATTCTTTGACTCTGGATATGGAGGTGACATTCTCCTCTGAAATGTATGCTGACTGTATGGCATTAGATCACAAAAGAGAATGCTTCAAAACATTCTGCCACAGCTTTTGATGACAGGTCCATGTACCATGGTAACTGATCTAAGTAACCAAGATTTGATAATCCAATGGTGGCAAATATTAAGACCATGGTTTTCTGGGATATGATACCATGTAGTTTGGCAGATAGGTTTCAGAATTTCAGAGCAGAAGAAGCAACCCTGAAGACAGATATAACATGTTCCTCCACAATGTTGGTACAGCTGTTTACCAGAGTATATGGTTTCACTTCGGTGATAAATGTACTCTTCAATAACTAATTAAAGTAAGCGGGTATGAAGAGATTCACAAAGAGCTGTCAGTGAACCCTATCCTCAGTTACTTAGATCCACTTCACATCTATGCAAACTATTTCTCTAAAATTCATTTTGAAACTCTCTCTCTACCTACACCCACAGCTCTGAAATAAATTGTTCACACAGGAACATTGACACAATAATTTTTATGTATTTATTATTATCCCAAGCACATGTTACTGGATACAAGAGCACAGAAAGTCAGCTTGGCATGAAATGAAAGCCATTATATCAACTGAGGAGTTCCAGCTTCTGTGATATACTGCTCTGTAGTCCACTGAAACTCAATCGACATTTTGAATGAAAATTCCACCTCCATATTCAGGATCAAAATATAAGCCAAGCAACAAACCAGCATGAAGAAGGTTAATTTTCAACAGACTACAGGACATTATCTCCTAGAAGATAGAACTCTTCAAAACGTCTGGTGTGAGAACCTCAAAACCTACAGTTACATAAACTGACATGTATGCTTTGGGTAAGCTATGATAAGTCAGTCAGTATTTCCAAGCACTGCAGCCCTCTCAAAGTGTGGTGGAGGTTCAGGAACCAGTCCAAAATTATGGACCTGAATGAGTGAAATTCTTTTATGATTAATGTACCAAATCTTGGTACTACGTTTATGAAGGATAGCTCCTTGTGGCCTTGAAAACCGGCTCATACAGCCAGAAGAGTAAGCCCCTAAAAATCACGACATCAGTCACGAGGATCAATTCAGCTTTTCACTGAACCCATCAGTCAGGAAATTTGGTGTAACAACATTTAATTCAGATTTACAAGTTATTAAATACTGCCCTTAAGTGGATAGTATTCCTTGCTTCTTATTCAAGATGTCCCAAGTTCAAATCTCAGCCCAGGCACCAGGTATCATGACTGAGAATTTCTGTGGTATTTGTCAGTCCCTCCAGGCATGTGCCAGAATAGTTCTTCAAATTATACCATGACTGCTTCCTCAAAATCCTTTCCAATTCATTATTCACTAATTATTGTAACACTCAATGCTGTATAATGTGAGGTATGTCAGCATCATTAAATAAACCCCAAATTATTAAGACCTGCCAACTCACCAGTAACTTCCTGCACCACTAGAGTCACTCCATCATGACCTCTGTCCAATGTGACGACAGAGCGACTGTTGGGGGACACATGAGGATGCCCAAACAATCCAGTTTTGTGAGCGAGCACTGTATCTGTCAGGTAGTCGAGCAGGATCTGCCCTGTTGGCCGGCCTGTGATGGGTTCCTCACATTCCATGATCACAAAGCCGTCTGCAAAACACATGGCTCTGTCTCATATATAGACGCCTGGCATACCAGCCCTTGCCTTTCAATGTTAGAACATCCTTAGAGACTTGCATCAATTAAAGTCTTGAGTGCTTTTCTTTATGGTATCTATATTATCACCCAGTAGAGTCACATCAGCAGCATAGACCAACAGCTGATGTGTCCTGTTTAATTTCAGTACCACCTGGTTTTCCTGGACCTTCCTAATGGCATATTCTAAAGCAAAGATGAAAAGGAGTGGAGATAAAGCATCTCCTTGTTTTAGACCATTCTGGATAGGAAATTTATCAGACAAATGTTTACCTACATGGACTTTACTATACGTTTTGTTTAAACACATTTTAATCAGCCTGACTAGTTTCATGGGTATCCCAAACTCTATCAGAATCTTGTACAATACTTCCCCCTTAACTGAATCATAGGCTTTCTTGAACTCTACAAATAGCTGATGTACTTTCTCATTGTACTCATATTTTCTCCAGATATCTGACGAATGCAAAAGAGCTGATCAGTAGTTGATCTGTTACATTGAAACCCACACTGATGATCCCCAATAATTTCATCTATGTATGGACTTAACATTGAGACAAGAATATTGGATAAAATTTTGTATAAAGTTGATAGCAGTGATATTCCCCGATAATTCCTACAGTCCATTTTATCACCCTTTTTGTGAACTGGTACAATAATAGACACAATTTTTCTGTATGCCAAATAGAATTACGTGTAAATAGCTTATGAATCTTAGAACGTAATATTTCACCTCCTGCTTGAATAAATTCTGCCAGAATTTGATCACTACCTGGTGATTTATACCGTTTCAATTTTGCGATAGCATTTTCAACCTCAAAAGGGCTAGGATCAAGTACTAACAGTTCTGCTGTATGGATTTCTATCTGCCTAACATCACTGACCCTATGTACATTCAATAACTGAGAGAAGTAGTTCTTCCACCTATTCAAAATGTTGTGGGAATCTGCAAGCAGGTCACCATTCTCATCCTTCACTAAGGTATTGCTAGGTTGGTAACCCCTCTTAAAGTAATTTATTCCTGTATACAGGTCTCTAATTTTCTTGTTCTTACTGGTCATTGCAAGCTCATCAATTTTGCCTTTCAGATATTCCCTCTTTTTGTTCCTGAAATGCCTGCTGGTTTCACATCTTATATTGTTCAGATTATCCCCATTTAACTTGCTTGGATCCTGTAACCATTGCAATTTGGCCTGCTTTCTTTGATCTAATAATTTTGAGCATCCTTCATCAATCCAAGGCTTATGCTTTTTCAGTTGATAGTATCCTAGTCTATCCTTGGCAGAAATTTTTATATTCTCTCTAATAGTTTCCCAAGCTCTATTAACATCCACCTCAGTGTCCAAGTTTTCCAGAGCCGCAAACCTATTTGAGATTTCAACACATTACTGCTCTTTACCCTCTACCTCATTTAATTTCTTGAGATTGAACCTCTCCATATGAATTTTGTGCGTTGTTTGCTTGCTCACTGCCAGTCTTTCCCTAACCTTTGCCACCACAAGGTAGTGGTCAGTATCACAATCTGCTGCCCTGAATGATCAGACATCGAGTATACTTGAATGTCGTCTCCCTTCTATCAAAATATGGTCAATTTGATTGTGTTTCTTCCCATCAGCAGATGCCCAAGTAAATTTATGGATGTTACGATGTGGGAACATTGTACTTTTGACAGTAAGATTTTTTGATGTGGCAAAGTTTACTACTCTTAACTCCATTATCATTACTAATTTCATGCAAACTCTCATTCCAAATCATTTGTTTGAAAATGTCTTCCCTCCCTACTTTGGCATTGAAATCTCCTAACAAAATTTTCATAGGGTACTTCGGGAATTTATCAAATACATGTTCTAGTCATTCATAGAACCTGTCATTTATGTCATCAATTTTATCTTCTGTTGGGGCATGAACATTCATAATGATATCACATCAGCAACCTTTTAGTATTATATATGATATCCTATCACTAACGAACTCTACCCTCTTACCTGCTGATACGATTCTCTTATGTATGTAAAAACCTGTATATAATTCATGATTCTCATTCCCCTTTCCATAGAAAAATGTATATTCACCTGCTGGTGCGATGCCACCTCTGACCCATCTGACTTTCTGTACTCCCACTAAATCTAACTTGTAGTATACAGTGTTCCTACAAGATATTTTTGTTCAAAATCCATTGGGAATCAAGAAGGGGGTGAGAGAAAATATAGAATATAGCAAATATTTTCTACTGTTCGCCCTTGATTTTTCACTTGTCATGCATGAGCAGAAGAGCAGGTTTGTTCAAGAATTAATTTTTAATTTCTCTGAACCTACTAGAAGAATATGCATTTCCTGAACTTAATGTTATGAGGTAACATGCACAGGGTTACTCACACAGAGCAGAGAACTGTATGTGGCGTGGCACACAATTGTATGGCGTCAAGTCAATACTTCTAGTGTAGCGCATGTTGGCCAAGTCCAGCTTGTACAGCCCACGCTGGTTTGTGTGCGTCACGTACCCATACTTGAACATGTGCGTCATATCCTAAACAGTACACAAGAATATCTGGTTCAAGGAACAACTTCACATGGTTGGGGAACTTGTTTTTCATACTAGTATTCAATTTCTTGGCTGAGCCACTGTCTTAGTACTAGTGACTGTAAGAAGTATAAAGCTAGGGTGGCCCCAGTGGCATGACTGTTTAGATTTTTAAACTGTCCCTGTGATATCAGCAATGGCCATATATTCAGGCTGGTGGGCTATAACACCAGTTTTTTTTTATGCTAGTGGGGTGGGACTAAGTCCCTTGTACTGCGGCCACTTCTGGCCTATTGTACCAGGCCCAGATGATAGGTGAGGGTGATTGTGGAGAAATTGGTGGAATGAAGATTGGCAGGGGAAACCGAAGTACTCAGAGAAAACCTGCCCCAGTGCCACTTTGTCCACCATAAATCCCACTTGACCAGACCCAGGATCAAACCCGGGCTGCCGCGGTGGGAAGCCAGCGAATAACCGCTTGAGCTTTGTGCAGCCAATATCACCAGCTTAGAAAGACTTTACAAGCTGCACATCTGTACCAATGCCAAACTGTGAAAGTGAAATTTACAGCTCCTATCTGCACGTAGATGACATTAGGGGTACATAATTAATATGGTTTACAAAAAGGTTTAAACTCATGTTAAATAGGATGTTCTCACAGTGGTAAATATGAAGAGAATGACCCTCTGGGATGTGACACCATGCCACCTGGGGGTAGTTTACGAAGATTTTGGAGGAATATATTGTCTCCATCTTCAGTGTTGGACAATAAGTCAAGCAGAGTTTCTTGCTTGGCTTACTCTTTGAACTTAGAATGGGCAATATTGATCTACCCCACAGAAATGAAGTGAAGTACCTGGGCATGCATCTTGATAGAAGACTGGCATGGGCAGAGCACAGCAAATCCAAAAAATGAGAGGGGGGGGGCTTCCTCCACGCTATGTTGGGTCCCATCCCAGGTTACAGTGCTCTTCAACAGCACAAAATACAGCCCATAACTGTGAATTTTCTTGACATCATTTTAGCCATGTGACTAAGTAAATTAAAGTAAGTGTGCATGGAAGATATGTTACACGGTGTCATGTAGTGCAATGTACTGTGGTGTAGTGCAGAATAATTGTGTGTTTCTAAATGATGCATTTGCGAATGTGTGTCTTGGTAACATGTTTAATAACACATTCAATTAAGTCTGTCTAGTAATTTGGCTGAATTATATATGACCTTTGTGTACTGTAATATTACTTATTGTAGGTTTCCATGGTGTTCCAGTGCTGATGCTGACTGTTCTCTGGGTCTTTGCATCATGTCAATGTGGGCCCTCATCCATATGACACAAAGACCCAGGAGAATCAACATCAAAATAGCCAGGCATCCAAATGTTTCAAAATCACAAAATCAGACTACATGTACGCAAGGTCTTGTTGCCCTAGTATCACAATCTTTCAGTGGACATTATCACTCCTTCCATTTGAAACTTGGCTGCCAGTATCAGTGAGAGGCTTACATCCGTTGTACCTGGACAATAAAGGTCAGAGTCTCCATCTCTGATGAATTCAGATTTCTACAGAAGAAAACAGTTGTGACCCCCTAGTTTCCCACAGAACTGACTTTGGACAGTCCTATTATCTGGGATGCTTTGCCATGTAGTCTGTTAGAAGTTCACTGACAGTCCTCCAAAATGTTGGATACTATCTACTGGAGTACACACTGTTACATGGCCTAATTAAGGTCCTTCTGTGACAAGTGTACAGATTAACTAAAGATGAGAGCAAAAAGGTTAGCTGCATCAGTGCCTGCTGGCTGACATCTACTTCCTGTTGACATGATTTTGTAGCAAATTTCATCATTTAAACTGATGTGTGTCAGTGAAGATGTGATGATATCATAATGGTTCTCACCTGTATGGGGGGCATGAAGAGGCCTCGCACGAGGTCAAACTGTCCATCAATGGGCTCAGGGTGCACTGTGTGATGCTTTCTCTTCTGGGCTGCATCCCGGATAATCTGTATGGTTTTGATGCCCTGGTTGTTTTCACTACGCCAGTTCAGGACCCACACCTGGTCAAGGTGTGGGACATAGTGAAGCTCGACTGGGTACTTATCTGTCACCACAACCTACACATGTCAACAGATACCTCCATGTTACAAACTGTTTGCCAGGCACCACGTAACTGGACCCAGTCATGATTTCATATAATTATCTGAGAGATGGCCAAAAATACTGATCTGATCAACAGTAATCTGCAAGGGGTTCTAATGTTGTGTAGTTTTGCCCACCAGTGTTTCAGAGGACTCCATTAGCTCCATCTTCTGGGACATTCAGTGTACTACACAGCATTACAATCCAGAAGACTGTACTCTACAGTCACCACTGTGAGAATTTCAAATTCAGCACAATAATGTGCAAAGACTGCAAATCTTGTTAAGTGGGTACAAATATTTCAGATGAACATGCCTCCTTCAGCTTAGAAGTCAGCCAAATAAAGAAAATGGTAGGTAACATATATAAATGAAAGGAGAAAATTTGTTATGGAAGATAGGCGTGTCTACTTTTATATAATCTACCAATTTCCTAATTTGGCCCATTTCTACAAGCAGGTGGAGGCAATAAATTCCTCTGAAAGTGTTGGCATCTGCCTACCAGACTACACAGCACCAAATGCCAGAAGAATGTAAATATAATATTCACCAGTCAAAGTGCCTCAAGTCTCAACAGTTTGTAAATCTGTTTTAATGTTTAATATTATTTGGAGCAGTTACTGTCTCACAGTTAGTAGCCTGTCCACTCATTATGTCACCATACCACCACTGCTGTCATGGCACTGTCCTCTTCTTTCATCTCGTCTCTGCCTTAACACAAATATCCCATGATTCAGAACACTTACTGCCTCCTGTCTGCTTCTGCTTACATATTTGTGCTACACTGAACTCTACTCAAACACTGTGCTGTAGTGGGTCTTCCTGTGTTGTTATACATGGTAGAGTCATTAAGTTCGTGGAATGTGGTTTTATCGCATCATATTACAAGGCATTCATATACACTTATGCAGATTCACATCGGCCCTCAAGATAGTCGCCATTGGCCACTATGCAAGTCTGCCAACGTTGATATAGCTGTCGAAAATACCGCTGAAACATACTGGCAGTAGCAAATTGAGTGGCCTCCATAGTCTAGAGGTAATGTTCCCACCTCATGACTCGTGGTACGCGGGTACAAACCCGGTGGAGGTCGTGGAATTTTTAAGGGCGGAAAAATTCAGGGAACAAGTCCTCCGGGAGGGACTTTAAGCTGTGGGTCCCGTGTTGTAGCTTTACGGCATGTAAAAGAACCTCATATCTCCTAAGGAGGTCACTGAGCCAAATTCAAGGACGTTTCCCGCCCAACAGTAGTCTCTACTGCCTCTGATAAATGGGGGAAGCATTACAGATACCGCCAAGACAGTAGAGGCCGAACTCGCTGGCTCAGTCAGGACTGATGGTAAGCACCAGTATCGGTAGGGTATAGAGACTGGTAGAATATCATAGAGGGAAGCACAATAGATCAAACTGGTCGCGGTGCATGGGGAAACCCACCCTCTCCAATAACTAACTAACTAACTACTGGCAGTAAATTCCCATACGACACTTTGCAGACATTCCACGAACTTAGTGACCGTGGTAATATACACATATTATAACCTCAAGAATATACCGGAACCTATGTGCAAGTGAATATGGTCCTCCACATCTCTGGAATAGTGCAGACGAGTGGAGGAATCTCGATATTTTGACCGAAAAAGAGATATAGAGGCCATGCTATGCTGCCCCCTGCTCCTTCTTTAGCTCCCACAGCAATATTTTTAAAATTATTAACATGTAAGTAATCACAGATTTATAAAGAATATGTGGGCATACGCAGACTAATATAACACAAAATGGGCTGGAAGTGATATACTTTTGGAGCGTCACTAAATGAATAATGTTCTTGTCTGTAAGAACATAAAACGAATATTTCTTGAATTCAGTGCATTCCAGGAGTAGACTTTAAATGGGCAATGGTAAAGTGGTAATGAAGTAATGGACTGCGAATAGTCAGGACAAGAGAGACATCCAATGCATACAGAACTTTAGGAGGACAAACCTCTTGGAAATCCATGATGAAATTATGGAGAAAAGATTAAGATACATCTCAGAGAAAAAAATTGTGAGGATGGGAGGTGGATGGAATTGGCTCAGGATCATGTCCAATGGTGGGCTTTGGTATTAGCAGTGTTGAACCTTCAGGTTCTGCTACCAGAGAGATAGTTAATTAGTAAGATGAATCTTAGGGAAACAGGCTGTGAGGTGGATGGAACTGGTTCAGGACCACATCCAGTGGCATGCTTTGGTATTAGCCATACTGAATTTTGGGTTTTTTCATATCAGATTTAGTTTTATACATACAGGGTGCGTCAATAAATTGGGCGATTTGGTAGCTGTGTTTTTTCCTGGATTGATTGGAGTGGGGAGGATGCCATTACTGCCATCCAGCAACCTACTTCAAAGCGTTTTAGTGGCAATGGAGCCGTGGACTGGAGCACAATGTGCTTTTCCTGTGAAAGCATTTTACAAAAACGGTGACAGTTTCATGATTGCTCAGTGTGAATTTTGAAGAGAGTTTGGTATTCATCGCAATCATGCTGTTCCATCTGCCCATGCCATCAAGATCTGGGTTAAAAACTTTGAGGCTGCTGGTTCTACACTAAAGAAGAAAGGTGGTAGCATATACACAGCATGTACACCTGAGAATGTAGCAGCAGTGAGAGAAGCCATTGAACGAAGTCCATGCCGGTCTGCGTTTCAGAATGATCACTCATGCTGTCCAAAGCCAGTATTTGATGGATTTTGTACCTCTACCCCTATAAAATTCAAATTATTCATGCACTACATGAACACACTGTGAAAACAGAGTTGATTTCTTCCAGACTTTTTTGCAATTAATTACTCAAAACCAAGATGTCGTTAACAACTTACTGATGAGTGATGAAGCTCATTTCCATTTGTCGAGGTTTGTTAACAAGCAAAATTTCCACTATTGGTCAGCCACAAACCCCAAAGAAATTTATGAGAGACCATTCCACAGTTCCAAAGTAACAGCATGGTGCGTGATATCTTTGTTTGGAATTACTGGCCCGTGCTTCTTTGAAGATGAGTGGGAAAGGGCTGTAACTGTGACTGGACCACATTACAGTCACATGTTGGACAGCTTCTTAGCTCCTGCACTTTCTCGTCTTCCAGTCAAGGAAGAAACGTTTTTCCAGCAATATGGGGCTACGTGCCACACTGCACGATCTTCCATGGCAGTTGTGAATAACCTGTTTCCTAACCATGTTATCTCCAGATATGGGGACATCATATGGACAGCCAGGTCACCTGATCTTTCCACATGTGATTTTTTTCTCTGGGGGGATCTGAAATCCTAAGTTTTCAAAGTTTCAGCACCCAACACAGTTCAGGAGTTGAAACATCAAAATCGGGAAGAAGTTGAACGAATTCCTGTAGAGATACTGTGAAGAGTAATGAGTGACTTTAGGAAGAGACTTAACGAGTGTCTGCAGCGGAAGGGTGGTCATCTGTCGGATGTTATTTTTGGGAAATAGACTTCTGTATTCAGTGAGTTAATTGAGAAAACCCAAATTCTTTTACGTTTACACTGTATTCATATGTGTTAAAACCAAACAGATGCAATAGTTTACTGTTCATAACGTTTCTAAAATCGCCTGATTCATTGACACATTCCTTGTCTTATTTTCACTTCTAGCCATTTAGATGTGTACTCTCAGAGACAGACATCTTCAGAACTATGGGGTCTACACAATACACTGATATTTTCATCTGTGATTGCACACTCTCATCCTCAAAGAGCAAGACAGTGAAGATGCACATTTTTTAAACATAAAAATGCTATGATACCTGGCAAATATAACCTCACAAAGTGTCATGTGATACTAACATCCACAACCACCATCTGAATCTTGCTGATGACCAGCACTCGGTCCTTACGAGGTTGAGCCACATACACGTAACGGTTGGCAACATTGATAGCTTGGCCCCAGCTGCAATTCACTCCCTTATCACCACAGACATATTCCTGCAACACAGTAGTACCAATATACTGATGTTACAAGCTCTTTGTTCTCACATAGACAGACCCATATACTAGTATGATACTTAAGTATGGGAACAACAACATTTTGGACTAATGGACTAATGTCTGATGAAAGAACAACACGGTAGCTTGCAGCGGCCATCAGAATTAGGGATAAATGTAAAGTTATCCTTGCGCTTAATGGAGACATATGGAGAGCAGAGGTATGAAGCTTTACACATCCTTCAGCAGCACAACAATAACAACAGGAAAAACAATACAAAGGTAAAGTTGTCCCTTTGCTTATGCTTTGCACCACAATGTATCAGAAAGTGGAGATAAAGTTCCACACATTCTTAATGCTGAATGTGAATTGTGACATCAATGCTCTGGCTGCTTTAGCCCAGTGAAACAGCCCCCTGTACTAAGTAGATCAAGAAGGACAAGGATGATGATAACAACAACAACAATAACAACAACAGCAACAACAACAACAACAATAATAATAACAATAACAACAACAACAATAATAATAATAATACCATATTACTTCAAACATAAGATGCCATAAAATGTAAAACACGTCCATATTTTGAATGTGGGTTTTAAGGAAAAAATTATAAAGGTGCACATTCCTTGAACTTAATATGCATCCCAATTTATCAACAGGAAAAATGTGCAAAATGTGCATCTTATATTCAGAGTAATATGGCAATATCTAAACTTTCACACAGATGTTACTGTGGAAGAATCAGACAAATACTGGAAACAGAGGATGAAATATGAGGAACTTATGATACAAATGCAATAGAATACACATGCAAAAAGTGACTCCAGTAATTGCAGGAAATAATTTACACAACATCTGGATGGAACTCTGTGGAAGAACGGCACATTTACTGCAATAACACATATTTCAGCTAAAGTGTGTTTACATGTGTCTGTATGCCCCTAAGGAACTAGGCATGTGACTGATTCACAGGTATATATCTATCAAATGGTAAGATTAAAGTGATATCAGAAGTAATATTAGTCACAGCATCAGCTGTGCTTACCTGGGTACCAGGAATGATGTCTGTAGCCTGTATCTGGTGGTACAATCTGCAAGCTGTGGGCTCATACACAGACACGCCCCAATCATGGAACGAAAAGAAGCGACGCTCCTCGTTCGGTGCAGCTACAACAGCATGTATCTTAGAGCTCAAAATATATGAACTTGTTCATACTGTGGTCTTCTGACTTATGGTACCATGTAGTCTCTAGGTGGTTACCAACATTTTGTTTGCCTCCATCTTAAGGATAGGATTTATATCAGATTACAAAATGGTGTCACAACAGAAGACCATAATATGAACTGTCATCATCATAAAAATTCAAATCTCACATAACCTTGTTGTCGTCACTAATGCCAGCTACTCTATTCTTGTATGTATTTACTGTCTCACCAGTGTACAGTCTCTCCAACCTGTGTCATTACATTCAAAAATATGATCCTCCGTAACACTTGTACAAGAATCGAGAGGTGTGTTCCGAATTGGCTTACATTTATATCTGTAATTATTTATGGTTTCTTTAATGATACTATGTGGTCTAGTGGTCAGAGTTCCTAGCTACAGATTCAGAAGTCCCGGGTTCGATTCCCGGCGCTACCAGATTTTCTTAGAAGTAGTGGGTCTGGGATGGGGTCCACTCAGCCTCATGATGATAGTTGAGCTCATTTAAGGAAACAGAGGCTCCAGTCTAGAAAACTGAAAATTAACAGTTGTGGGGATACGTTGCGCTAATCACGTGACACCTCTGTCTGCAAAAGTTGGCACTAACTTCGCCAACAAGCGGCGGTCGCTCAGTCGGTATAGTCCACTTGCGGCCTAGTGCCATGGAGTTTTTTTTTATTAGTAACTCAGTCAATGTAGCACTGAATGATTAAGTGATAATGAATAATGAGTTTGAAAGGACATGGAAGGAAATGGTCAGGGACTAATTTAAGGTATTATCGTGTCATTTGCCTGCACAGGCTGATGACAAGCCCACAACACCTCAATCAGTACAGCTGGTATGCTGGCCAAGACTCCAACCCAGCACATCCCATATACAAGTCAGAAGCATTAATGATCTGAGGTCCTTGCATATTCTAAATGTGTTCTCTAGCATTTTGTGTCCATCATCAGCCTTCACATTCATTCACTGCAGATACAAATGTATTATCGGAAGAAGTATTCTGCATTACAGATACTGCAAGACCCATATAAAAAATAAATTTATATTCTTGTGATTTGTCATATTGCAAAAACGAAGTGCAAAGTCAGTTGCCAGCCAAAACCAGTGACTATATCTTTCAAATCATGCTAATACTGTTATACCTGAGTTAAAATCCCCTCCAGTGCTGGGTGGTTTAATATTCTATATTCAACAAACATGCTCCGTGGCTTGAGTCCGCAATCAAACTATTCTCAGGTAATAATTTGTCAGTGGTTCCTTATGCATGTGGATCAAATAATCTAATAGGACTGAACATAATTCCACTTGACCCTTGGTCATAAATACGCAGTGTGCCAGCCAGAATTGCTGCGAACTGTTTGGGTGCTTAAAGGCTGGGTTTCTAACAGACTGAATTCAGTATGTACAGGCGAGGTTAAGAGAATCTAAACAGAACGCTGTAATGAGGTCACTGGAGAGGGATGACGTCATTAGCTTCTTCCATGAGAGACATAAAGACAGCCTTGTATTTCAGCACCTTGTTGCATTGATATCAGTTATTTCATCAACATATATTTCTGTCACAATGCGACACAAGATTGTTACAGTCACTTTAATCTTTATTCACAGCATGTTTCGGCCGTATACGGCCATCATCAAGTGTCCTCATTATGCTAAACTGTTCATTGCACTGCTTGTCTCAATTTTAAAATTAAAATTAAAATTAAAATTAAAATAGGTCCCAATTTTAAAATTCAAATTAAAATTGCAATTAAAATTCAAATTAAAATAGGTCGCAATTTTAATTTTAAGATTGAGACAAGCAGTGCAATGAACAGTTTAGCATAATGAGGACACTTGATAATGGCCGTATACGGCTGAAACATGCTGTGAATAAAGATTAAAGTGACTGTAACAATCTTGTGTCGCATTGTGACAGAAATATATGTTGATGAAATAATAAAGACATTCAACTCACTGGGGGTGGGGTCCTCTTGCACAACAAGCGATGAGATGTCACGAGTCATGCCCCCAACATTGCTCGCCTGGCACATGTATGCACCCGTGTCAGCATATCCTATCTTGTGCAGTTGCAGTTCTGTCCCGTTACCGATAATCTTGTACTTGTGTGGCACATCGAACCTGAGGGGCTCATCATTCTTCAGCCAATCAACCTGCAAGCAGCAAGACAACGCTGAGGATCTGTTCATACAACGCTTATTATATTGAATTCATACATTATAAAACACTTTAACCCAAGGAACTGGTGGCAGAGTTAAGTTATCCCTGTGCTTAATTAAACACCATACCATGAAGATGTATGGAGAGATGGGGTTATGGCTCACATTCTTAACCTCAGGACTGGATAGAAGTTGGTGGTCAATTTCACACACCCTCACTTTCCCCTTAAGAGAAATAGCCTCTAAATAACCATTGGGCAGAAGGCCTGGTGGGTCCCAGATCTAAACTGGATGATGTGGACAAGAAACAAATTTCTGCACCAATCAGGAATCAAACCTCAGTTCCCAGGTTTTCCAGTCTGTAGACCAGGGGTAACTGTTCAAATGGTCATAGGTACAATCTATCATCATATGTGCATAAAGACTTTTCTGTGCTTTACTTTTGTCAAAGTGATGCTTTGGGTTACTTGGAGAGAACAAGAATCCACAGGTTCTTCCGTAATTCATTCTGACAATGGCCCCATCACTGGAGAATCAAAATGTGTCTTACAGGTATGTCCACCTCACAAACAAATTGCTATATCTCATCAATCAGCAGAGGTCAAGGAAGACACACATTCCTCGAAGCCTAAGTAAAAAAATACAACACTTTTCTTGTAAAATTTGACTTGCTACAGAATGACTGTGGTGGGAAGACAGGACAGCGCAGGCAGTTGCACGGAGGGGACAGTTCTCTGACACATGTAGCACGGCTCTGACGTGAATCACTCCACATGCTGAGCTGTACAAAGCCAGCTCCCCTCAGTGTGAGATGTTCCCAGCCCACAGGCTCACCTTCTCTTCACATCATCTTGGCCACCTTGCCAGAGCAGATATTCTGTGTGTGTCTGTGTGTCCATAACACGCAGATATTGTATCATGGGATCCTGTATCTTCCAGCTTCCACTACAGCAGCAGTATCAAGCAATGCCCTTCACAAGCTCAGCCTTTTTAGCCTCAGAACAAGCTCAGACATCCCACTGTACCATTACAATAGTGATAGCCTTACAGATACTATGAAAAATTTACACTGAGAAGCAGATTTCAATGACAAAGTTTCTCTTCAACTGAACATTACAGTCTTCTGGTGTGTGACATCATGCAGCATAATAAATCATTAGCAACATTTTCAGGGGCACATGCTTCCTCTGTTTTCAAGGCAGAAAAGAAAGTTGAACATTTAAAGCAGTACAGATATACGGGGGGGGGACCAGGGACCAAAGCTCACCAATAGAATCACAAACAGTGAAAGAAAACTGGTCCTCTTGGCTTTGTTCCCTTTCTTTCTATTGGTACACCTAGGGTCCCAGTGCTGTCCTTCCTTTTACCATGAAGACACAGGCAGAAGGTTCCTCTGTAACACTGATGATGATCTAGGCAACTACATTATGTCACATCACAGAGACAATAACCTATATAGCACTGTTCTGAGGAGCGTTGAATTTCTCTTCAATATTTTATGTTTGCTTTATCAACTTGGTGCTCTTGTTGCACTTATGTTTGTGAAGACCAAGAGCTGGCAATATTAGAAACAGAACATTTTGTGATCTAACCAACAGAGAACTTAACATTTCATTGATCTAGTTCCACACATTCATACATTAAGTGCTGCAACTTACTTTGGGAAAAGGCTCTCCGATCACATGGCAGAACATTGAGGCGTCTTTGCCTGGTCGCCGAGACTGGATCCGTGGTGTCACTTTCACTTCTGGAATAGCTGGAAATAAATTTCTTCTTTACAACATCCACTACATAACATAATTACCAATGTTTCCATTGCAACAAAATCATACAAAACCTTGAATGATAAATCATTTTATTTTTTATGAATGCAGCTCCATATCCAACAAGACTACACTGTATGATATTTGAGTTCTCACAGCGTTGAACACTTGATTATTTCATAGTCACAACACAGATATCTCTGTGCCTTCAATAGGTGGTCATGAAAAAAAAAACTACATGGTTTTAGTCCACAAGTGAACTATACCAACCAAGAGACCGCTGCTTGTCGGCGAAGTTAGTGCCAACTTTAGCTGATAGAGGGTGTCGCGTGGTCAGCGCAACGAATCCCAACGGCCATTAATTTCGGTTTTCTAGACCTCAGCCGCTGTTTCCTTGTCATGGCCCCAAAATATGCAATGAAGTGAGACTTACTGTGCACAGTGAGCACATGTGTCTGTACAACATCCTTGTTGCGCTGTGCATGACATGTGTAGTTGCCGGCATGGATGAGTTGGATTCGAGTCAAGTACAAAGATCCGTCACTGAACACCCGCACCTCATCCTCATTGAGAGCTGACAGATCGGCCTCATTGCGTCGCCACACGATGGGAGGTGGTGGAGTCCCAGTCACGTCACACTTGATCTCAACATTGTCTCCCACACGGGCTGATAAGTGGTTCACCTCCAGGGCCTTGTCTAGTGACACCACCGACACACCTGTGAATGTATGGTATCAGGTGCGCTGAGAGCTGGTGCTCGGCCCCCAGCTAAACTCAAACAACCAGATGTGTGAGACAGGGAGGGGAGAAAGCGCAAGAGAATGAGCCCTTGCTGCTTCTCACATGCAAGTAACGCTTATTTATTATTTCAGACACTCCATGGTCTTAAGTTTCTTCAAACATGTCTTGAAAACTGGATCTGCTTTTGCTATCAGGCATAAGGAATGAAAGCTTCCTGTTCAGTTGGGGCCATCAGACAGTAAAATCGATCACCGGTCAAGTGACATTGAACCCATCTCAGTAGGAAAAATTCCTGCTTTACACCAGTTGATAGAAATAGATCCAGTTTCCAAAATGTCATGTTTTGAAAAGCTCAATGTGATGGGCAATGTCCATGTTTACTGCTACACACCATCATCAGAAACATTTGGACTTAGCTCAATGTCTTTATTTATTTAATTGTTTTTATTTCTTAGAGCAATGAGTAATATAAGTATACATATTACAAGTATAAAACATCCTATTCATTAGGCGATGAAGCAATTCCCTTATTTTATAGTTGTTTCTCAACTGGAGAGATGTGTCCCTTTGGTGGGAGTTGACGTTTTGGTACATGGGATATGAGGTCTCAAAAACAAGAACTTCAGTTAATGATTAAAAATGTTAAAATATATATAATTACAAACATACACTTGAAAAAATTGAAGGTTTGTTTTTACTGTGTTTTGGCTGTACTTTTTTATAATATGATTGGTGGGACACAAGAATTGTCATCATCGTCACCACTAAATCTTGCCATGAGACCTTACCCTGAGATAATTAAATCCAGTTCACATCCACATTTTTTTTAAAGTTACGTATGAATATTATCGTGTGATATAAATCTCAGACTTCAGAGAGTTCTGTAAGTAAAAATGAGGGTTTCTGACAAAAAGAAAACTGTGTCAGATGTTTCTTGTTTCCTCCACAGCCACTACATGCTCCACTGTTATGATGCTTAGTTATTTAATTACCATGATAATACCGGAGGAAGGATACTAACATGAAGCTCTCTGGTCTCTAATTTTCTTCACTGGAGGAAGGATACTAACGTGAAGCTCTCTGGTCTCTAATTTTCTTCACTGGAGGAAGGATACTAACGTGAAGCTCTCTGGTCTCTAATTTTCTTCACTGGAGGAAGGATACTAACGTGAAGCTCTCTGGTCTCTAATTTTCTTCACTGGAGGAAGGATACTAACGTGAAGCTCTCTGGTCTCTAATTTTCTTCACTGGAGGAAGGATACTAACGTGAAGCTCTCTGGTCTCTAATTTTCTTCACTGGAGGAAGGATACTAACGTGAAGCTCTCTGGTCTCTAATTTTCTTCACTGGAGGAAGGATACTAACGTGAAGCTCTCTGGTCTCTAATTTTCTTCACTGGAGGAAGGATACTAACGTGAAGCTCTCTGGTCTCTAATTTTCTTCACTGGAGGAAGGATACTAACGTGAAGCTCTCTGGTCTCTAATTTTCTTCACTGGAGGAAGGATACTAACGTGAAGCTCTCTGGTCTCTAATTTTCTTCACTGGAGGAAGGATACTAACGTGAAGCTCTCTGGTCTCTAATTTTCTTCACTGGAGGAAGGATACTAACGTGAAGCTCTCTGGTCTCTAATTTTCTTCACTGGAGGAAGGATACTAATGTGAAGCTCTCTGTTCACACACTTAATCATTAATGTCCACATTCGTTTTCCACCTTTTAACAATTACAAGTTGCATTTTTGTTGCAAGATGGCTCTCTTCAGTTCGTTTAATGATGCTTACCAGTCACAAAGTAAATGTCGCTTGTATAACTGCAAAATTCTCCAGAGAATGTTGAAGCTTATATATTAAATTAATCCAATGAGCATGACTCTGAGGCCCATGTTGTCTCTCAATTTGACAGTGTGTTATATGAGAAGCCATTTGCATACCATCAGATTATTAGGATAGTTTGGCCCACATTTACTTTATCTACTGTTTTGGAGCTCCCTCCATTCTACAAACCAGCTTTGGTTTAGGGGTGTTATGGAAAGTTAGGTTAGGTCACGTGAGCAGTGCTATTTGGATCCATAAACACAGGAACACAAATATTATTTATGACTACAGAACACAGTCAGTTCTGCAAATATTTGTATTAGAAAGTTAAGAACCAATGATCTAAATATAGACTGGAATAAATGCAGAGTAATAAACACTTAAACTGTTCACATTAATGAATTTATAAATATAAGAAAATTCTTGTGAGATGGAAATATTATACTGAAAGATGAATAACTGGGCCAAAGTTACAAGCAGCATAATATTTTAACACAATGACAGTACAGAACTTCTTCATAGGCAGCTCGAAATTGGATTAAATTATGAAAGTGGAAGCAAAGCAGTTTTTGTCTGCAGAAGTCAAACCCTGATCACAGGGCACCCTGTAACACTTCTGGTGCATCGAATGGCTCTGAGACAGGTTCCCCCCCCCAGTCTTCATTCTGTACCACTGCGTCTCCATCCAGAATTGCATGATAAATCTGACAAGCATCCATACTCCTTACATAGGGCTCGGCTTCACCTCTGATTGAAGTCAGGGGAAGGAAATTCTTTTCAGTGCAAGATGTAGGAAAACTTTAAGTCTCCAAGGAGGAAAATTGGCATCTAGATTACCTAATGACGCTGTTTCAACTGCAAGGTTATTTAATGTTGCAATCATTACTTCATTTGTAACACAGTTTACTAAAAATCTGAATAGATAACGTAGTTTTTATAAAAACAATTTTCCTTTGAAATAGTTAGATTACTTCTGATGACAATGGAGAAGCATTAATAATCTAAAAATAAATAAAATAAAAGTACAACTTGTAAATGGATTTATTTGTGGTGTTATCTGTGGAATAATTCAAAGTGTGTATGCTAAGAAACATAAAATATGGGATTTGTGGCAGCTTGAAGTGCTGTAACAGTGTTTTGTTGCCAGAACGCACTCACTGATAATTTGCTTCAATAATTCAAAATTACTTGTCATTTTCTTGTGGACCTGTAGAGTCGCATCCTGATGTAAGACAGTGCAAGATGTATACTGCATAGCAGCAGTAACTACTGTGTCCAGCGGCCTCCGTAGTCTAGAGGTAACGTTCCCATCTCATGACTCGTAGTACGCGGGTTCAAATACCCGGCGGAGTTCGTCGAATTTTTAAGGGCGGAAAAATTCTGGGAACAAGTCCTCCGGGAGGGACTTTAAGCCATGGGTCCCGTGTCATAGCTTTACGGCACGTGAAAGAACCTCATATCTCCAAAGGAGGTCACTGAGCCAAATTTACGGACGTTCCCCACCCAACAGCAGTCTCTAATACCTCTGGTAGATGGGGGAAGCATTATAGATACCTCTCAGCTAGTAGAGCCGGTCTCGCTGGCTGGGCGGGACTGATGGTAAGCACCAGTACCGGTAGGATATAGAGACTGGTAGAAATCATAGAGCGAAGCACAATGGACCAATACAGGTCTAAGTGCATGGGGAAACCCACCCTCTCCAATAACTAACTAACTAACTACTGTGTCCAATTAATAAATAACTAATAAATAAATCTACAAAACATGTGGCAGAAATGTCTCATGCTTTTATTTATTTTAGTGTCTAGATCCCTACTTCAATTCTACTCCACAAGCGTGTTGCACGAGATCTATCAGCCTAAGACTGGAATATCAGCTAAGCCACAGTTACATGTCTGTGAGGGCAGTTGTAATAAGAGTTCAGATGAGATGATTAGGTATGATGGTTAGAAATGATTGTGGAGGAAACAGTCCTGGCCTGTTTCAATGTACAATGCCAGCATTTGCCTAGAAGGCCCAAGGAAAACTATGAATAGCTGTAGTCTAAGGAACTCTTGAATACTCAACAGATGGTCTAGCCACTTCATCAAGAAGCTAGACCTACCTGACAGATGGTCAATTAACTACGCTAAGTTAAAACCAAGCGGCGTAAGCAGGTGAAGCAACTTACTGTATAACTTACTAAACGCCATATAAAACTCATTTATGTTGAGGCGGCCATCTTTGTCGCTGTCATCAAAAGAAAGCATGTGGCCGAGACTGCAGCCTTTGGCTAGCTGGTTCAGATGTTCCCGACTAGCGATCTGTGAACAGCAGATGGCAACGATGTAAGCTGTGAACACTAACACTTACCACTGTCAGGAGCGAACCCATCTTGCTTTAGACTGTGTCTTACTTCACTTAATGATTCTTTGTCAACTGCACATGTTATATGGTATCAATTAAGATTTAAAGGAAAGAGACCTATGGGAAGATTCAGAACAAGATGGTTAAGCAAGGTACTGGAAGACATTAAGGAACTGGTGGACCTGGCAAAAAACTGAACAGGTCAGGTTGCGGGAAGATAGAACAGACTGGAGAATTTTTATTCATTCACATACATAAAATAGAAACGATTCAAGGAGAAGGAGGAGGAGGGGGGACGGGTAGGGTTGGATGAAAGAGCGAAATATGCAGTGTGAATGATAAACTGAAAGGGGTGTGAGAGGGAGTGGTCATGGTATTTGTATGTTTTAAGTTACTCTTTCTTTATATATTTTCCAATGTATTTTTTTTAATCATCATTGCTCTTAAAGTTCATGTAGTGCATATATAGACATATCATTAAAGACCAATCAAGAAATACAGAGACTACACTGTAAAAGTCATAAATTATTTTTCCTTGAATTTTATTTTTTTATATATACCATTATTTCAAAAAGATGTTCCAAATAAAAGTAAGAGTTCTAGCACCATGATACTTGTCTCAGAGATCTGATAAAATTCAACCATTTCTACTAAAAAAAAATGTATTTTAAATGACTAGCATGGACAAAAATGAAATTTGTGCGACAACAAATTTAGTGAAGACATCTGTAAACTTGATGTGAAGCCACTGAGCGCTTCTGAAGACCAAGACGCACGGACAACGGGCCAACACACCTGTTCGAGCTCCTCTCTCTCAAGTGCCCCATTGTTGTTCTGGTCGTAGTGACTGAACATGATGCTCACCAGGTACTCCTTCCCGGAGCTGTGGTTGTCCTCCGCCATCAGCTTGGCATGGTTGTACAGCAGCAGGTTATCCTTGGTAGCAGAACAAGCACAAAGTGACTGGACCACTCATCTCAATAAAGGATGAGGTTAGGGGCAGGCAGTGAGGCCCTGCTTTGCAACGTTAATTTTAACAGGTTTAGACAGCATTTCCATAAGTAACCAGAGGCTCTACAGTTATGGAACACATAAGGTTGAGGGCTTCACGCTGTCTGATGACAGTTCTCACATTGATTTGCTTACAAATGTGTCCTCAATATGCCGGATTTGAGGTTCTCACAGCGGTAAGTATGAAGAACACTGTCATCTGAGATGTGTCGCCATGTTGTCTGTTAGAAGCTTACGAACATTTCAGGGAAACATCCTGCCTCCATTATCAGGGTCGAAGAGTAAACCAAGCAAGCAGCCAGCAAGGAGAGAGCTCTGATCACTCTTTGACCCTGAAGATGGAGGCAGTACATGCATCCAACACCCTGTAAACTTCTACGAGACTGTATGGAGTCACACTCCAAATGATACTAGTATTCATATACCAAATTATTTTCTAAGAAACTTTCCTTTAAAATTATATTACCTGAGATATATGTCAACAGCCTGCTCATCCCTTTGAAGCCTGAAGTTCCTATATATAATATTTAAAAAAACAATTTCTGCTTCACGGAGAATATTCTGTGTCTCCATTACACAGACCAGTGGGATGATATATTTTATGAAAGTAATCATCAGGATCGTGCGAGGAGACACATGAATGTGCAAATGCAATGCTTTTGAATGTTAAAGCAGGTGAGACACAAGACAATATCCACAATTTATTGTTATATTCCAACATCAGAAACCTTTAGGGCCAGCCCAGGACAACCTCCTTTTTCATTTCTGACCACCTTCCACTGGGGTTTGAAATTAACATTTTAGACTATTTCTTGTTTCCTTCATAATTTTTTTAATTTGCTTAATGGAGGGTGGAGTCCAACTGGGTCCACTTGGCACGGAGGCCACTGATTGGCCTATTGTAGCCTGCCCCGGGTGATTATGATGATGGAGAATTTGGTGGAATGAAGATTGGCAGGGAAAACCGAAGTACTCGGAGAAAACCCGCCCCAGCACCACTTTCTAAACCACAAAGCCCACTTGACTAGACCCGAGTTCAAACCCAGGCCGCCATGGTGGGAAGCCAGCGACTAACTGCTCGAGCTCATACTCTCCCTTAATACATCCTAACTGTACCCATCATACAGGCTTAATTTCTCAAATGAAGCTCTAAAATATATGAGAATCTGCGGCTGGGTCCCAACCTTCATTATCTCGTACTCTTGGATGGAACAATCATCTTTGTCATAGTATGAATCTGGTTCCAGTTCTGCCTCATTGTCCTCCGGGTTATGCTTGAGTGGTGTAAATGTTTCATTGGGGACGGCAGTGGGGACTGCAGATGGCGACATCACATCTAGAAGGCTATGGTCCTCTGGCTTGTCTGCAATTAACAATGTCACATTTTGTCCATCATTCATATGAGATTAAATCTGCTTCATCATTTTGCTAAGGCTTCAGTGCATCTGCTGCAGCCACTGAATTCATCAACAATAATGGATTTGGTGAGTTCAGCTGATATGAGATCTCGATCAGCACAGTCGGAGGTGTATATAACAACAGAATATTAATAACATCCAAGAAAAACAAAAATATCGAAAACTGTATACTCAGTATTGTAGTATACAAGATTCTAATTCAAAATATGAACGCTACTTTTGGATTTGCCTGTATGGCAGGAGGGATTAGTACACATGCAGACAGGTTCCCATTATTGTTGTACCACACAAACTGGGATTTGATGGCCTGTATTCTGAAAGAAATCTGCTGATGTTTCGAGAGAACATGTTGCCTCCATCTTCAGGGTCAATGAGACGGAGATTCTGGCAGCATGTTCCTCTGTAACATCAGTAAACATCTACCAGACTAAATAGCATCACATCCCAGGAGACGGTAATTCTGAACGTGGATTCTGTCTTCAGATCTGTCTGGGTTGTTATGACATTACACAAAAGCTGAGTACTGGTACACTGATGCCACACAAAGAAATCCCTCAAGCTGCTACGCTTCGCCCTTCAGCATACTTTCCTACATTCCGTCCAGTCTCTGACACACCAATGTTGGTGCAAGCATTTCAGGCTGGTTGATATAAGCCAAATGAGAAGGTGGGGAATGCAAGAGAAGATAGAAAGGGCGAAGCGTCAAGCGCTGATTTCCGCTGTGCAGATGCCGACAAGCGGCTCCAGCCTCGGCGGTCCACTCACCTGGCTGAGGTCCCTGCTTGATGCAGCCATAGGCGTGGTCCACAGCGATTGCTCTGCCCTCCAAACATGCTGTGCGATGCAGTTCGCAATGGTTCGCGTACAGCTCGCCATCCGTCCCACACACCAGTTTCTGGTGCCTCCTGCAGCGACGTTGACAGATACACTGTGCCACTCCGCGGCTTACCTGGCACTCCCGTCCTTTACCGCAGTATTTCACCAGGCATGGGTCTGTGGGTACAGCTCACGTTAGTGCACTGACATATAATGACGACTATATCCGTCACGGATCTGCAGAAACCAAGGTGAATCATACATTGTGTCGGCAATTTTACAGAAGAAAAGTCCTGTGTGAGAATGTTGAATTTCCCGCCGGCGTATGAATACCACCGGAAATATGTTGAAAATAGAATCCAGTAAATTTATAATGATGACGTTACGGTCTACATCACTAAGTGACGATGACGCACTGCCAGGGCTAGCGGCATCCGTAGTCTAGGGGTAACGTTCCCCCCTCATGACTCAAGGTACGCGGGTTCAAACCCGGCGGAGGTCGTGGAATTTTTAAGGGCGGAAAAATTCAGGGAACAAGTCCTCCGGGAGGGACTTTAAGCCGTGGGTCCCGTGTCGTAGATTTACGGCACGTAAAAGATCCTCATGTCCCTAGGAGTCCTCTGAGCAAAATTTGCTAACAATTTCCCGCCCAAGTAATTTCCAATGCCTCTGGTAGATGGGGGAAATATCACGTACCGACGGCCGACCTCGTTGGTTGAACGGGGCTGATAGCACGCACAGACTAATCGTGTCTGCAAGGATAAGTTGGTTAATATGTATCTAGGGAAAGAATCTACGTCTTTTGTGAGAACCGAACGGAAATTGTTACTTCTCAGTTTTGAGACCGGTGTATGAAGCAAAATGGATAACGTAAAACCAGATCTGCTTTGCTGCTAAATTTACCTCCACGTGATACACCGTTACGGAACATGTCATTCCGATAAGGGAGTGAAAGCAGTTTTCATACGCTTAGTGTACTGCCAGTCGCGAATAACCAGGGCAGATAAGTTTACGGTTATGTTCACCCTTCTACCGACCGGCTCTGGGGCCCACCCAGCCCCGTATGCAATGGATACAGGAGCTTTATCGCCCCCCCCCGAAATGTTCATTGCTTGATGCTTAGACACAGGGGTAGCTGTAGCTTTACTTGTCATCAGGCATTAAATTTAAGGCACTCATGAACGAACGAATCAACTAAACAACTAACTAACTAACTACTGTACAAGTTGGTCTAGCGGTAACGCTCTAGACTTATATTCGGCAGGTTCATCACAGTCTTCACAAGAGCGCATCACTGGTATCTATCACAAGCCAGATGAATCCAATCCATACTCTCCAATCCTATTACTTTTTGGTCCATTTTTAACAATACGGGACATGGAGGAACGTCTCCATACTTGACCAAATCATATGTTTATGCTCCGACCACCTTACTCCCAAGGAAGCAACTGGACGTGGCGAGGAAAAGAAAAGTTCTGCTCCTCTCAGGAATCGAACGCTGGTCGTCTTTATGCCGCATCTGCCGATGGTAATGCAGTGGCAATCCGCCGATCGCATCAATAGATCAATCGCAGCTGAACCATTAGGTTGCGGGTGCGCCGGCATTACTGCCTCGGCTGATAGCATTCGATTTCCGCGCCGTAAAAACTTATGAAATCGTCAGACTGGAGGGTGCGGGGAGGGGGGTGACACAAGAACACTCGCAACTTGCTTGCCAAATCAAGTCTGGTTGCTAGGCTGTCCACTGTTGTGTGTTTCTACTAGCTTAATTAAACACCACACCATGAAAGCGCGTAAGGGAGTGGAGGTACTGTTCTACGAATTCCTAACCTCGGCATTAGATGGATATTCACGCCCCGCCTGCTTTACTATGTTGCTATGTGGGCCTCAGAACCGGTCTGGACGCTGTCAAGAACAGGAAGATCTGACTCCTCGTCGTAGAGTACGCAGCCCGTCACTGTACCGACTGAGCTACGGGCCTCAACGTGCGAAGCACAGAAGGGTGTCATAGCTAGTCTCACCGCGAAGTCTCGGGTCACCCCATGGCGGCTTCACGTCATCACCTGCATCTGTATTCTACTGACAGAGTGTGGTTTTCATAGTAAACACAGGGATTGACGTGCTGGTCTTTGCAATGAGGGTGAAGAGCAGTGTCCGTGAGGTAGGAATTCATTTACTAAGATTATTTACGCCGGTTTCGAATCAAGGTATAGACATGTATTCCGGAAGTGCCCGGTTCGAATTCCGAGCAGTACACCAGATGTACCGAATGTGGGGTTTCCGTGATTTTCCTCAGTCATTGGAGGCTAAAGCTGAAGCCGTACCTTAGGCTACGACCGCTCCCTTCAAAACCATTTGCAATCCATTATTCACCAGTCACCCACCATTCAAGCAGTCTCACTCATGTGTTCCAGATCGACTGATCACAAATTCAGCACTCGATTGTGCCACTGATGTACAGGTTTACTTGCCAAGAGACCACTCGAGTACAATGCACTGTTAAACCATTTCCTCAATTGGGGTAACAGAGGGCGGACATCGTCTGCAGTTGTCGAGGGAAGGTGCAAGAACCGACACAGTAACACAGGATCTGTACGTCCTTACGCGGTCACTGGGGGCCAGTACCATTATCATTATTTTTATGATTATTTAGTTTAGTGGGTATAGTGACTGCGCTATGGGCTAGATGGCTGAGGAATCGGGGTTCGACTTCTGGCAGCGGCAAAGATATCTTTATCTTTTTCCATAGCATCCACTTAGCCTCTTATTCAATGGGTACCGGAGGAAAATCTGGGGATGCGTGAAGCAGGTGACTTTAAGAAAGCATGGGACTAAACCTCTACTCATCCACACGTCTTCATTGCGCGGTGATTATCTAATTAAATATAAGGACAAATTTATCCGTCGCCTCTGTCATTATGCTCGTGCTAACTTTATAATTTGTCTCTGTGCTGTTAAGATTGCAAGTAAATAAACAAGAATTGAATTGAATTATTATTACTATTATTAGTATTATTGGCCACACACACTCATCACACCTATCTCTATATCCATTTTAATATTATATTCCCATCTACGTCTAGGTCCTCCAAGAGTCATCCTGCTTATTTAATAACTCTTCTGCAAATCCATAGGTTATATCCCATCGTACAGATTAAGAACTCAGAAGGCATTGGCCATGGCCTGTGTTAATTAGTAAGATGGATCTTAGGGAAGCAGGTTGTGAGGATGGGAGGTGGATGGAACTGGCTCAGGATCGTGTCCAGTGGCGGGCTTTGGTATTAGCGGTGTTGAACCCCCGGGTTCTGCTGCCAGAGAGTTAGTTAATTAGTAAGATGAATCTTAGGGAAACAGGCTGTGAGGATGGGAGGTGGATAGAACTGGCTCAGGATCGTGTCCAGTGGCGGGTTTTGCTATTAGCGGTGTTGAACCTTCGGGTTCTGCTACCACAGAGTCAGTTAATTAGTAAGATGGATCTTAGGGAAACAGGCTGCGAGGATGGGAAGTGGATGGAACTGGCTCAGGATCGTGTCCAGGTGCAAGCTGTGGTATCAGCTGGGTTAAACTTAGGGTTCTGCTACCAGAGAGTTACGTTATCTTCAGGATGTCGCTTTGGCAAAATCAGTATCAACTGAAAAGAAAATTAAATCTTATGCAACGTAGAAGACGTAAGAACCAAACAAAACAACGATCACAATGGAGAGTCGGACGTACGGCAGTGTTGCCAACACCCGAAAGAAAACTTTTTTCATATACAGTTTGTGCAGAGATAATGCGAATCACGTATGTTATGAAAGAACCTGTTTTGCTTTCGTGATAGTATGCGTGGTTTTCCCCAGACGGCCTTACGGATGCTGTTATATCGCGGGTCGGCAGGCTTCCTGTGCTTGTCCCGCTTCAGGTTTCATTGTCCTGCAGAAACTAATCAGTGCTGAAGCACCACTCCACTTGATTGAGGGCTATTCGGTCACCGCGTGTCAACTGCTGAGGCCGCTTAACGTGACTGATAAGTGATTGTATTTTTTGCATAGCCTCTGGAGGGACCTGCCGGCGGATTAGGGTATTAAAATGAATATAGATGACGATGATGATGATGATAATGATCGTGATCATGATGATTGTGGTGGTATAGTCCCTTTGCTTAAGTAAGCACCACACCATGAAGACGGATGGGAAGTGGAGGTGCAGATCCAGGATTTCTTAACCTTGGCAGGAGATCGGATGGGTGGTGAGCTTCACATACCTGCCGCTTTACCTCCGGGGAAATATTCTTCGGTACTGTTTAAAGAGGCTTCATAACTTGTACTCTTCTCGAAGTATAATTAGAATGATCAAATCATGGAGGATGAGGTGGGATTGGCATGTAGCACGAATGGGGGAGACGAGGAATGCGTATAGGATATTGGTGGGAAAGCCAGAAGGAGAGAGACCACTGGGAAGACCAAGGCGTAGGTGGGTGTACAATATTGAAATGAATCTTAGAGAGATAGGATGGGATGGTATGGATTGGATTGATCTGGCTCAGGATAGGAACACGTAGAGGGCTGTTGTGAACACGGTAATGAACCTTCGGGTTCCATAAAATGCTGGGAAATTCTTTAGTAGCCGCAGAATTGGCGGCTCCTCCAGAAGGGCTCAGCTCCATGAGTGAGTAAGTAAGTAAGTAAGTAAGTAAGTAAGTAAGAAAGTAAGTAAGTAAGTAAGTAAGTAAGTAAGTAAGCAGTGCTTAAAGAGAAGGCTGGGTGGTCCGCAGAACCGGTCTTAACGCTGTGGAGAAGATAAAATCTGTTGCCCTCGCTGGAGATCGAACTGTAATTTCTCGGCCAATCAGCCCGTAACAATAGCAGTAGGTTTCTGTGTTGAAGTCAGTCGCAGAAGCGGGGAAGTTCAGAGTCCCTCGGTGCTGCTGTCTGCTTTACCTCCCATGATGGCAGATGAGTACGGATCACTAGTAGAATGACAATTGTCAGGGGAAAACCGAAAAATTCCCCCCCTTGCCACTTTTGTCAAACATAAATCCCATAAAGACTGCCCTGGGGTTTAACCGAGGCTTCCACAGTTGGGAACGGGCGAACTGGAATGACCTGGGAGCATATGGCACACACTGGGAAACATGACATGTATGTAGAAGTTTTGAAAGGAAATATCGAGGAGGCTACTTATGTTTTTCTGTTTTT